ATATATGAAATGTAATACTTTTTAAAATAGTTTTACCATTAATTGTTTTTTTTTTTTACCTGTATAATGTATAGAAATATTTTATTAAATGTCAAATAAATAGTAAGTGCAGTAAATTAACCATATCCTTTTTATTTACTAATTTTTGTTTTCTAGTTCAGCCCAAATCAGATCATGTTTTATGACAAGATTACTGTTGGCTATTATTTTGGTGTGTATTAACCTTCCGTTTTTAAAGCCGGGGTCCCAAAATTATTTTATGCAGATCAGTTTGTCAGCCATTGGCATGCTAACTAATTACAATTTAAAAAAAAAATAAAATAAAGGAAGAACAATTGTCACAACAGCAGTTAAATCTCCTGACTCCAACCTTCAGTTTATTCAGAGTACTGTATTCATTTATTTCTAAACCGAAATGCTTTGCCCATCAGTTTCACTAGTTGCGGTCCCCTCAATCCATATTATAATTTAAATTATTCTTTTTTTTTTTTTTTTGGTTTGTCATTGATCTCCATGCATGTATTCTTGTTTAAGGAAAAAAAATGAAATCAGAATGTGCTCATTTAATGCCGGTTTAAAGTCCTGTAGTGTTAGACTTGCAGTTTCCCTGCCTCAGGTATCAGCTGTGGGCTGTGAGAGCCTTGACGTGCCGCCATCCAGGCCGTAGCGTTGTATCTATGCGAAACTTAAACAGATTTATTAGTAATTAACAATGGAACGGCTGCAGAAACTATTTGCTGAGGAGCTAATGACTCTCGGCTTTGGGTAGTCGGCATGAAGAGATCCCTGCAGCGCGCCCCTTGAGTTTGGTGTGTTTAGTATGATCTCATAGGTTTACACATATGTCATAACACATCGAGTACCCACTACATCTCGGGTAAATGGAAGCAGATTTCTGCTGGTCGTGTTTACAGAGGAGGGATGTCAGCGGTCTGCATTATTTAAAGAGAAGCCATGGGGGTCAGGGTGTTCATTGGTAGTAGTCTCCCCTCCTTACAAGCCATAAACCTTCCAAGGATTGCGCAATGAAAGCTTGACAGCAGCGGTCAGCCGATGCTTCGTAAAGTCGGCGGCCTTCTTTAATTTACCGAAAATGCTTTTTTAAAATATTTTTTGGGGGGAGTTCCACCTTCAGATAACTTCTGTGAAACCTTTTAATCAATGGGACTTTCTTTTACGACTCGTCCGCCCCGGGTGTAATAAGCTGCATTGATGTGCATTGATCAACCAAAGCCGAACACAAGGACACATAGAGATCAATTATACTCTATGTGCCCTCTTCATGCAAACAAATGCAACATGCAACACGTCACCGCATGGCTAGGTCAATGCACTGCGCTGCATAAAGGTAGAGTAGTATTAAAGCCATTCTCTGCATTAAAGTAAATAATGCCCTGTACCTTTCTGTGTCCCCCGTCCCCCCCAAACTTAGCTGTCGGCGCAGCTTGTCACCGCCGTCGGTCCCCGAATCGCTCCTCCGTCCGAACGACATGGTTAGGTGGGAGGAGATTGAGGGCAGAGGAGCCATAGGCCCCTTCTGCTGTCACTCAACCTATTGGGCAGAGAGGAGGGGTGTGGCCAGCCAGGCCGCTAGGCTGTGTGTGTGTGTCACAGCCACGGCTGGGAACGAGCATGCACGGGTGCCTCCATAGCAGCAGTTAGCTGATGGAGGCACCCGTGCAGAGGGTGGGGGCAAAGCACTACAGGCACCACTAGAGAACAAGCAATTGAAAGATTAAAAAAAACAAAACAACCCAAGATCTAAAGCCCACAGGGGTGCTGCCATGTCTACTAATAAGAAAAAAAAATGAAAAGTTTAATGCCACTTTATTATAATTATACAGGATTTATAGAGCGCCAACAGTTTGCGCAGCGCTTTACAATATAAGGCAGACATTACAATCACAATACACATCAAGACAAGATGGTAAGGAGGGACTTTAATTGTTTCTTGTCAACTTTAAATAAAGTTTAGGAGCACGTTCACACCGTGTGGCTGCTGGTGTGCGTGTGCCCAGGCAATGCAATCAATGTAGCCACATTGCACTGGTTCTTTTTTTTAAAAGAGGGGCTGGATTCCCCCCTCCCCGCTCCGATCCGCCAGCGCTGACTGGTGGAACGGACGGGGGAGGGGCGGGTACAGCTGCCTCTGCCTCTCGATAGGCAGAGCCAGCTGTCAGTCACGCAGCTGGGCGGATCCCGGCACAATTGTCGGGATCCTCTTCAGCTGCGGTGTCTCAGTATATAGAGAGCTACAGCTCGCGGTATACTGAGCCTAGGGTGATGGGAGGACGCTAGTTTGTGTCCTCCCGTTACCCTAAGGAGAACTATGGGGAAAAGCCTTAACCCCATAGTTCTCCTTTAATAAGAACTTTATTAAATAGTCACAGATGACATTTCGTTAAGTCCTTTGGTACACCGCGGTGCATTGTGGTTGCCCCAGGTCTCACCGTGGTGCACGTCAAACTTTTTTAAGCACACACCACGGCAATGAAGACAAGAAACACAAAGCGCACATTTCACCCCGGTCACGCATCCTTGTCATCCACATTCGGTGCACGGATGACCCTCTTCTGGAGTGATGGGCTCAAAACTGCAGAACCAGCACATGTTGCTCTTCCAAAGAAAATCACACTTTATTTCACACGCATCTGTACAAAAAACGGTGGTTGTTTTTTGTACAGATGTGTGTGGAATAAAGTTTGATTGTCTTTGGAAGAGTGTCGTGTGCAGTTTTTCACACCGCGATGTGGCGCTGTGAGCTGCGGCCGTGAAAATGCAGATTGCCCTGCCTTGTCTTGCATTTGGGTTGCGCTGGAAAAAGCCTCCAGCACAGCCTGACCGCATATCGTGTGAACAGAGCCTAAAAATAGGGGAACATTGCAGCACAGGCGCACATTGCACACCGCCGGCGCGCTTTATGCACAGCATAGTCCTCTTAAGTCTCTAAATCCTTTAAGCTGTGTCATTATTTACACATCATGAAATTTATTCTTTTTTTTAAACGCAGGCAGTGTAAGTACCTGAATGTGACCTGTTATCAGCCTCTTGCAGTCCCTGCACAGCAGAGCCCAGACTGGAAGCAGGAGAAGCTGTAGGAGAGGCCAGTCAGTTGTGCTGCAGTGCTCGAGCGCCAACAAAGATCATGCCTATTGAAACAGAGAGCAGAGTGACAGAGAAATTAGTTCATCAGGCTGCTGCTTCTCCTTTAACTGTCCAGTCACAGGCTGGTGGAGGGACAAGACCTGTAAGTGTTACTTAACTGCAGCAAAGACCAATCAGGTCTCCTGCCCTGCCAGACAGGATATGCTGT